TAAATAGATATATAGAGAGATGAATATGGATATATATAGATAGATGGATGTAGATATGAATAGATATATAGAGATAGATATGGATATAAATAGAGAGATATGGAGATAGATAGATAGATAGATATAAATAGATATAGAGAGATAGATATGGAAACAAAGAGATATGGATATAGCTAGCTAGATAGATATCAATAGATATATATAGAGAGATATGAATATAGAAATATAGATAGAAATCATATATAGAGATAGATATGGATATAGCTAGATAGATAGATAGATAGATAGATAGATAGATAGATAGATAGATAGATATAAATAGAAATAAATACAAATATGTATATGGATATAGAGAGAGATGGCTATAGCTAGAAAGATAGATGGATATAAATAGATAAAGATGGATATGGAGATATAAATAGATAAAGAGATATGGAGAGATAGATGTATAGAGATAGATATGGATATAAATAGAGAGATATGACAGTGGAACTCTCTGCCCCGGAGTGTGGTGGAGGCTCCTTCTTTGGAGGCTTTTAAACAGAGGCTGGATGACCATCTGTCGGGGGTTCTTTGAATGCAATTTTCCTGCTTCTTGGCAGGGGCTTGGACTGGATGGCCCACGAGGTCTCTTCCAACTCAATGATTCTATGATTCTAGATAGATAGATAGATAGATAGATAGATAGATACAAAGATATATAGAGAGAGATATGGAGATAGATAGATAGATAGATAGATAGATAGATAGATAGATAGATATGGATAGAGATAGAGAGATAGATATCAATAGATATATAGAGATATATGGATAGAGAGATAGATATGGGTATAGATATATCTATATAGCTAGATATAGATATGGATATAGAGAGATATGGATGTAGCTAGATATATAGATGGATATAAATAGATATAGAGAGAGATAGATACAGATATGGATATAGAATCCTAGAGTTGGAAGAGACCTCATGGGCCATCCAGTCCAACCCCCTTCTGCCAAGAAGCAGGAAAATTGCATTCAAAGCATCCTTGACAGATGGCCATCCAGCCTGTTTAAAAGCTTCCAAAGAAGGAGCCTCTACCACATTCCAGGGCAGAGAGTTCCATTGCTGAACAGCTCTCATAGTCAGGAAGTTCTTCCTAATGTTCAGATGGAATCTCCTTTCTTGTAGTTTGAGATATGCATATAGAGAAATAGATAGATGGATATACACACACCCATATAGATAGATAGATATGGATATGGATATAGATAGATAGGTAAAAGGTAAAGGTTGTCCCCTGACATTAAGTCCAGTCATGTGTGACTCTTGGGTGTGGTGCTCATCTCCATTTCTAAGTCGAAGAGCCAGTGTTGTCCATAGACACCTCCAAGGTCATGTGGCCGGCATGACTGCATGGAGCACCGTTAGACAGATAGATGGACATAAATAGATATATAGAGAGATAGATATGGATAGAGATATATGGATATGGATATAGATCAATAGATGGATATAAATAGATAGAGAAAGATGGAAATGGATAGATAGGTAGATATAAATAGATATATAGAGAGATAGATATGGATAGAGATATATAGATATGGATATAGATCAATAGATGGATATAAATAGAGAAAGATGGAAATGGATAGGTAGATATAAATAGATATATAGAGAGATAGATATGGATAGAGATATATGGATATGGATATAGATCAATAGATGGATATAAATAGAAAAAGATGGAAATGGATAGATAGGTAGATATAAATAGATATATAGAGAGATAGATATGGATAGAGATATATGGATATGGATATAGATCAATAGATGGATATAAATAGAAAAAGATGGAAATGGATAGATAGGTAGATATAAATAGATATATAGAGAGATAGATATGGATAGAGATATATGGATATGGATATAGATCAATAGATGGATATAAATAGACACAGAGAGAAAGATGGAAATGGATAGATAGGTAGATATAAATAGATATATAGAGAGATAGATATGGATAGAGATATATGGATATGGATATATTTATTTATTTATTTATTTATTTCTATACTTGTATACCGCTGTTTCTCAGCCTAACTGGCAACTCAACGCGGTTTACAACAAAATACAACAATCAACAGTATTCAATTTAAAACCATAAAAACATCATACACAATATTGACCCATCAATAACAATCCAATGCATCTCCTGACTAAAATCGTGATCCAGTTTCGTCGTCCATATAGATCAATAGATGGATATAAATAGATATAAAGATGGATATGGACATGGTTAGATAGGTAGATATAAATAGATATATAGAGAGACAGATATACATATAGATAGATGTTTTGTAGATGGTGTTTTTCTTATTTTTTAAATTAATTTTGTATTTCCAAAAATGCAACTTAAATCCAACAAATCGAATATCTATCTATCTATCTATCTATCTATCTATCTATCTATCTATCTATCTATCTACCTATCTTTCTATCTACCTATCTATCTACCTACCTACCTACCTACCTACCTACCTACCTACCTACCTACCTACCTACCTACCTACCTACCTACCTACCTACCTACCTACCTATCTATCTATCTATCTATCTATCTATCTATCTATCTATCTATCTATCTATCTATCTATCTATCTATCTATCTCTCTCCTAGGGATTGTGGGAGTTGAAGTCCAAAACACCTGGAGGGCCCCACTTGGCCCAGGCCTGTTAAACAGATTCCTACAGGCAGAAGGACTCCAATTCCCATGTCTCCTTGCGCGAGTGGGCGGGGCTTCCCGCATGGGGCGGGGACCTTTTTTCAAATCCCGGCCGGCGATTGGGCGAGGAGGAGGTTGCGTCAGAGGCGGCCGTGGCGTTGGTTGGGCGGCGGCGCAGGAGGAAGAGGCGAGCCGGCTTCGGCCTGAAGAGCAGGAAGCGCAGTGAGTGAGTGAGTGGCGGGCTTCGCTGAGGAGAGCGGCAGAGGGAGATGGGCGAGGCCTGCGCCCAACGGGGCTGAGTAAGTACCGCCAAGGCCTTGTTGTTTACATGCAGGGGGTGGTAGTCGGACGAGGCCTTCTCTGCCACAGAGGCCGATGCCTCAGCAAACGTCAACACCTAGGATTCCCTGACTGAGGCTGTAGCACTCAGTAGTATGTGTAGATGCCCTCACTGTCTCGAAAATGCTACCAGATCTGTTTGTATATTGATATTACAGACTAACGTGGCCATGTTTTGGTAAATTACCTCCCAGGGCCTTTCCACACAGCCATATAACCCAGAATATCAAGGCAGAATAACCCAAAATATCTGTTTTGAACTGGAATATCTGAGGCCCCTTCCACACAGCTGAATAAAAGCCCACATTATCTGCTTTGAACTGGAATATATGTCAATGTGGACTCAGGGCCCTTCCACACAGCTGTATATCTGGCCCAGCTTACCTGTCCAAACTTATCTCTCCTTATGAACCATCCAAGACCCTAAGAGCTTCTGGGGAGGCCCTGCTCTCGGTCCTGCCTTCTTCACAAACTCGGTAGGTGGGAATGAGGGACAAGGCCTTCTCAGTGGTGGCCCCTCGGCTATGGATTGCCCTCCCTAGGGATATCAGATCATCCCCCACCCTCCTAACATTTCAGAAAAAAAGTTAAAACCTGCTTTCCCAAAATGCAGTGTAGTAGATAAATTCTAGAGGGGCTGACCAAGGGCAAGATGGATGGATGGCATCCTTGAAGTGACTGGACTGACCTTGAAGGAGCTGGGGGTGATGACGACTGACAGGGAGCTCTGGCATGGGCTGGTCCATGAGGTCACGAAGAGTCGGAGACGACTGAACGAATGAACAACAACAGATAAATTCTGGTCTTCGGAACGATTGGACAATGCGATCGGGTAATGATTTTAGTAATGGGACGCTGAGGATTTATACTCAATTGTGCAAAAGCCCTCCCGGACACCGCTGACGCCTGAGCCTCAAGCGTAAGTGATGAATACAGGAGAACTACCAAACTGCGGACGTGTGACATCGGGGAGTGTAACCCCATCCAGCACAGGTTGCCACCCTATACCCCGATGTGGTTTTCGATCGACCAGGAGGACCTCTGTCTTGTTGGGATTAATCTTCAGCTTGTTCCTCCTCATCCAGACAGCCACAGCGGCCAAGCACTCGTCCAGCACTCGAGGGGCTTTCTTGGAATTAGGTGGAAAAGAGTAGTAGAGTTGTGTGTCATCTGCATAGAGATGGCACCTAACTCCAAAACTCCAGATGACCTCTCCCAGCGGTTTCATGTAGATGTTAAAAAGCATGGGAGACAGAATAGAGCCTTGCGGGACCCCACAGGTCAAAGGCCAGGGGTCCGAGCAGGCATCTCCCAGCTTCACCATCTGGGATCGTCCCTCCAGGAAGGACCGGAGCCACGACAAACCATGCCCCAGAGACCCATCCCAGAGAGCCGTCTACCATGATACCATACAAGGATACCATGATCGATGGTATCGAAAGCCGCTGAGATGTCCAAGAGGACCAACAGGGTCACACTCCCCCTATCAAATGTTATTTATGCTAAATATTTTAGTTGTTTTTATGTTATTGTAGGCATTGAATTGTGCTGTTTGTAAACTGCCTTGCGTTGCCCTTGGGCTGAAAAAGGCGATATATAAATATGGATAATAATAATAATATAATAATAATAATAATATCAAGGCAGAAAATCCTACAATATCTGCTTTGAACTGAGTTATCTGAGTCCACAGATAATGTGGGATTTTCTGCCTTGATATTCTGGAACATAGCGCTGTGTGGAAGGGCTCTCAGTTACCCAGTTCAAAGCAGATATTGTGGGTTATTCTGCCTGGATATTCTGGGTTATGTGGCTTTGTGGAAGGGCCCTGAGTCCACACTGCCATATGTCCCAGTTCAAAACAGATAATGTGGGATTTTATTGAGCTGTGTGAAAGGGTCCTCAGATAGAATTGGAAGCAACATGTTGGCTCTTTGGGGATTTAATTATATTTATTAGGATGTTCATTCAAGGTGGAAATCCCCTTCCCCATGCTTTGTCACATAGGATTCGACAATTCAGTTCTGTAATGCTGCGGTTTGAGTTAATAAGACACGGAACGCAATTAAGCAAAGTGGTTCTGGATTGTATAACTTCAGATCCCAAAGCCGAAGATGCATAGTAGTATTTGTTGTTATTTCAAATGGTTCATCCCCCGCCCGCCCGCCCCCCCCCAAGCTCTCTATGTACAAAGTAGGCACTGTAAATGCACCTGGATGTTAGTGCAAAGAATGAAGAGAAAATTGTGATGGCAGTGATGGCCGATAGTCCATGTGCAACAGCAGATTTGTTATTCTGTTCTCTGAAAAATGTCAGTCCAAATTGGAAAAAAATTAGGGAGTTGTTTGAATGGTGTTTGAGGCAGGACAGAATTGGGATTGCCGGATAGAAAATAAGGCCCCTTCCACACAGCCATATAACCCAGAATGTCAAGGCAGAAAATCCCACAATATCTATTTTGAAATGGTTTATCTGATGGCCCTTACACACAGCTGAATAAAATCCCACATTTTCTTCTTTAAACTGGAATATATGGCAGTGTGGACTCAGATAGCCCAATTCAAAGCAGATATTGTGGGATTTTCTGCCTTGATATTCTGGGATATAGGGCTGTGTGGAAGGGACCAGAAATGTCATGGAAGCTCATAAATTGTGGCCGGAATGAAATATTTGGGAAAGAAAACTTTTAAAGTATGTGCATGTTATACTGTACCTGTTTTGCACAATACTCTTGTGAAATATCCATTCATAGATATGGCTTATTTGTTTGTTCAGGGGAGGTTGAGAAAACAGGTGCTTCCACGTTGCTAATGACATCAGTATTAGTCAGTATTTCTGATGGTGAGGAATGATCAAAACTGCAGCACAACACCATGTGGAGAGCCACACTTTGCCCAACCCTGTTTTAAAGCAAGAGCGTTTCAGCTGCTCTTATTTGTTTGGTTCAGCACTTCCCAATTGCCTTTCATCCATATGGATATCAGAGTTTGAGTACACATTGTAGTTGAAACAGTAAAATAATAAAGTCAATGAATCTGAAACATGAAGACAATGAAAATTAGCAAAACCAATAAATCAGTTAATTTTTAAGTATCTTGGGATACAATAACAGATTGATTTGGCATTACAATAATTGTAATGTGAGTGCCACTCACTTCATTTGGAAGGGTACTTCATTCAGGAACTCCCCTTTCTTGATAGTTTATCCAAGGTACTTGGAGAGAAGACTTCTGTTGTGTCTTGTGACTAAATACGATTAAACTTCTCTTTTCAAGTTTTAATAAGGATGTCTAATGTTAATCATAGCTTTGCATTATTTGGTAATGGCTCTCGACTTTTCACTTCAGTTTTGTGTTATGCTGTACAAACCGTGAAGTAACAATATTAAATTAGAACTACTGTGGTAAATTCTACCTCTAAATAAAAACACTGTCTTTATATGTAATTCCAACTGGCAGTCAGTATTGGCAGTAATGACTTAATTATCTAGCAGCTCTCCAGCTTGTTTATTAATCAGAACCTTTTTTTCTTGTTTTTCTATTTCAATTTTGAGACACTTGTAATGGTTCACGATATATTTACAATACTAACGTGAACTAACCTATTAAAAAATCCCCACAAAAATCATTAAAATGTAAACACAGAAGAGGAAAGAAAGTAAGAAACAAAGCATCTAAATCAGTCGTTCTCAACCTGTAGGTCCCCAGATGATTTAGCCTTCAGCTGGTAAACTGGCTGGGATTTCTGGGAGTTGTAGGTAAAAACACCTGGGGACCCACAGGTTGAGAACCACTGATCTAAATGAAGTAGGAATAAAGGAATAGAATCGTAGAGTTGGAAGAAACCTTGAGAGCCATCCAGTCCAACCCCCTGCCAAGAAGCAGGAAAATTGCATTCAAAACACCCCTGACAGATGGCCATCCAGCCACTGTTTAAAAGCCTGCAAAAAAGGTGCCTCCACCACACTCCGGGGCAGAGTGTGCCACTGCTGAACAGCTCCCTCAGTTAGGCAGTTCTTTCTAGTGTTCAGATGGAATCTCCTTTCCTGTAGTTTGGAGCCATTGTTCTGAGTCCTAGTCTCCAGGGCAGCAGAAAACAAGCTTCCTCCTTCCTCCTTGTGACTTCCCCTCACATATTTATACATGGCTATCATGTCTCCTCTCACTCTTCTCTTCTTCAGGCTAAACATGCCCTGCTCTTTAAGCAGGGCATGTTTACATTAAATCACTCTTAGGACTTGTTCTCCAGACCTCTGATCATTTTAGTCATTTCAGCTTGTCGACATCTCTCTTCAATTGTGGTGCCCAGAATTGGACACAGTATTCCAGGTGTGGTCTGACTTAGGCAGAATAGAGGGGTAAGCATGACTTCCCTGGATCTAGACACTATACTCCTATTTATGCAGACCAACATCCCAGTGGCTTTTTTAGCCACTGCATCACATGAAGCATGAAGAAGGAAAACTCAAGCTTCTGAAAAGTCAAAGTCAATACAAAAATGTACAACCCTCTACTGAACAAACAATCCATATCTTTAAATACACATTTCACAAGTACAAATCCGTCCGAATTCACAAAAAGCACGATTATTCCTAGTCTCAATAGTATGTGCTGCTGAGAAAAAAGAGAGCTTTTACTGGGATACTGAGAAGTAAATCCTTGATACATATATCTAGAGGTGATCATAGAATTATAATTCATTTTATGTTTTGTTTTTTATTTTGTTCTTTTTTTTTATAGCTGTGACTATCTTTTATAGAGCTATACATCCTGCTTGGAATCACTGGATAATAATGAGTGGTGCGGCTTTAGGCATTGAGATAGTAGTTGTCTTCTTTCTGGCATTAATCATATTACACCGATATGGAGACTTCAAAAAACAGCACAAACTTGTGATTGTTGCAACACTACTAGCTTGGCACCTTTGTTTTCTTATGGTCTTCATATTGCCTTTAGATGTCACTACGGTAAGATATTTCCTTTTTATTTTCCTCCCTCAACACCTTTTCTATGCATTTTGATCACTTTTCTATGAAAGTTGTTCACGCATGCACAAAATGTCCCAGGTGAGAGGAGAAGGTCAAGATTTTATTTTCAGTGGGTCGCAATGGTTTAAAAATGATAAATCACATCAAAGTATTGGCCTCTCAAAATAAAACAGTTTCAGGAGACAGTACTGGAAACAATTAAAGTCAGAGGGCCCTTCCACATAGTCATATAACCTAGGATATCAAGGCAGAAAATCCCACAATATCTGCTTTGAACTGGGTTATCTGAGTCCACACTGTCATATAATCCAGTTCAAATCAGGTAATGTGGGATTTTATTCTGCTGTGTGGAAGGGGCCAGATATGATGTGCCTGAAGCAAAATGAGAACTCATATCAACTTCACTATGACAATTTAGTTTTTGTAGCCCCTGTTGTTACTGTTTTGCCACAAGAGGTATATTAGAATCATCTGTTGATAGTGATGCAGATGTTTCCTAACTACTTCTGAAAAGTTCCTTATTTGACCAAAACTTTTCTTTGCAACCACAGATTTATATTAGAAGTATTTTTTATATTGCATACATGGCCTGCAACAAAAACTTTGTAAGTCTTTGTTCCTTTTCTGTTTTGAAATTCACAGTCCTCTTACATGTCAGTAAGAGCACTGTCATGTTAGTGTTTGATCCAGTATGATCTTGACTGGTGATGGCTATTGGTGATTTGTATCTAATCCTGTGCCATTGTTGAATAAATGTTATATTATTAGCAAGGAAGCTGATGTATCTGAATTTGGGATGAAAATGAATGTTGAGATCAAATCTCCTAATGAATGTAGAGACCCTTCATCGTTTCATTTTACTTTTCTGTAAATGCGGACTTCTTTGTTACTTCCCCCAGACTATATACAATCGATGTAAACTTGATATAAATGGATCATATTCACCTCCCACCAACAGTGGATCCCCACAGCACGAGGGCAGTATTTCACCTCCAAGGTAATGACATTCATTTCCATAAAATCATTTTATAACTAAAAAATGGCATGCCTGTTACCAAACAAATAAAAGACTGGTCACTCTTTCAAAGAAAATTCTGTCTCTGATGGCATTAGAATTGAAAATCTTCTAAATATGTATAGGAGAAAGAGAATGCAGGATTTAAAAAGGCTTCGATGCATTTAAACATTTGGTTGTGCTTGTATAAACAGTTTTATTTTAGCACTTCTACCGTTCTAATCAGAAAATTGTGATACACTATATTCCTTAAAATAAACGCAGCTTTGATTTCTACTAGTGCGCTACATTTTATCTAAATCGAAATAGGTACATCTTATGTAGCCCATCAGAAATGATTAATTATATTCCTGGTCACCCCTTCCTTCAGGTAGTCAGTTGTAGAGCATCTACTGAATGTTCCTTTTTAAAGGTTGAAAAGCATAGTTAGCAAAATTAATGAAAGCTATTAATATAGGCCGGGCTTTAGCACAGCAGGTGAACCACCAGCCACAATAAATCTTGCCAATCAAAAGATTGGCAGTTCGAAGCCCGCGTCGGGGTTGAGCGCCCGACTTTCAGCCAAGTTCACTGCCCAACTAGCAGATCGAAAACAGCTGTGAGTAGATAAATAGGTACCGCTTAAGTGGGGAGGTATTTTAATGGCACCATAAGGAAATACCAGAAAAATGCCAGCAATTTGGTCAGAGGAGGAAGTCTGTGATCAGAGCTCTTCGGCATGGTGGAAGGAGTGACGGCGCCCAGCCATGGCCAGAAATGAGCACAACTTCTAAGGCACCAAAGATGAGAAAAGCTCCCCTCACTTACACATTTTCTATTCCTACCTCTCCCAGGGTTTTATCATTTTATCTTGTCCATTTGGGCTGTGCCATCCTGTTCGATTTTATATTATGTTAATTTGCTTTATTGTTTTGTTTTGCTACTGTAATTATTTTCTGTTATAAGTTTTGTTTTTTTCATTCTGTATTTTATTCTGTTGTATTGATTTTTTGGGGGCTTGGCCTCATATTAGCCATCCCAAGTCCCCATTGGGGAGATGGTGGGGGGGGGGGGTATAAATCAAAATAATAATAATCATTATCATTATCATTATTATTATTATATACCTCTATCTATGTACTGTGTCTGTCCTGTCAGTGTATAACAGCATTGAATATTTGCCATATATGTGCTCTGTGATCTGCCCTGAGCCCCCTTCAGGATGAGAAGGGCGGAATATAAATACTGTAAATAATAAATAAATAAATATAATGGTCATTACAATATATAGAAAGTCTTAGTGGGAGAACCTCAGATTTTGATACAGGCCATTCATCTAAATTAATTGCTTAAAGCATATGAGAAGTCACAGATAATTTCTTCTTTCATACATTCTTTTTGCACCTGTTTCATGGTAAAGATTTGCCTTCTTTCTCTTCAGTCTCAAAGAATTAAATAGTTCATCACATCTGACTTCCTTTTGTCATTAAAAGATTGAATCTGAAACTAAAATTACCTCTATAACCTCTGAGCAGTCCAAAAGTTACGATCTATATGGAGGGGGAAAATGTACTTTGCCGTCATGATGAGATAATTACAGCTGAGCTGCTATTCAGAGCCATGACTTGAGTCAGAGTAACTAATTTAATTTGCATTTACGACGTTCATGGCTCTAAAATAGAAGCCACTGAACTACGTGGCTGCTGGTGGTGGGGGTTCTTTCTTTAAAAACTCCTTTGGATATTATTGTTTTTTAAAACAAATAAGCAGTATATATTTTGGAAGAAATGCTTTAGTATTTCAGATCTGCCAGACTTGCAGTTAATTGCAGCTTTATGCTAGAGTAGCCAATAATACAATGTGTATTTGGAAGGAGATACTTATGTTGGAAGAAAGCACTGCATTTGATTTTTATATACTCGTGTGTGGCCTACTCTGTTTGTTCAGTGACAGATGCTGTGAGTAATAGAAGTGTGTGCAATGTGATAGTTACATGATATATAAAATGGAGGGTATTCTCACATTACACTTTCATCATGAGTATAAAACAGAAAAAATGCTTGCTTTGGTTATCTAGTAGCCAGACTGGGCAACTTGGTGCCCTTTGAGTGTTTTAATATTACAGCTCCCAGAACTCCTGACCATTGATCATGGTGATTGGGATTAATTAGAATCATGGGTTACTTTCTTAGTGACTTTCAGGGCTATTTGAAAACATTATATAGACATTATTATTATTATTATTATTATTATTATTATTATTATTATTATTATTAAACTTTATTTGTACCCCGCTAGCATCTCCCGAAGGACTCGATGCGGCTTACAAAGGCCAAGGCCTCAGTACACAACATAACAATACACCTAAAGCAAATTAAAAACAATTAAAGCAGTATTAAAACAACAAAACAACATGCAATAAACAATACATCAAAACACGATAAAAACTGGGCCGGGCCAGAGTAAAGGGTACAGGATTAAAAAGTGCTGATGTGACAGGTGATATGTAAGGATTACATACATACAACTACTGACCGAGATTCGTCCTTGGTATTTCAAGTAGATGCACATAATTATGTTAAATACAGCTATTACATTAGTATGTTACAACTTTGTGTTTATGTAAAATGTTATTCAGGACCATTTTAGTATTGTATCCTTCTTTCATTTTGCCTGAACTCTGGTATAGGCTTTGTTGCTTTACTGAAAAGCTGAATTAAATTATTGAAGACAAAATCAGCTTTGAAAAGTTATGTATTTTTTCATTTTCATGATACTGAATCTTATCGTTTTCACAGAAAGCAGGAGTGTTTCAAACCATGGAGTTATATTCCAGATGGAATTATGCCCATCTTTTGGCGTGTGGTGTACTGGACATCACAGTTCTTAACATGGTGAGAACTTGGGAAAATATCTGAAATAGCTCAGACTTCTACTTCTTGAGTAAATGAGAAGATGGAATTGATTTGGAGGAAGAATTTTTCCCTGCTGAATGCATGATGTTGTGTCCACCAAATGTTTTTTCTAGCCATAGATAGAGCCATTGAATTTGCGGCCATCTGTGAATAACATTCTTCTTAAATTCTGGAATATTACTCTTATAATACTGAAATTAGTTCTATTTTCTAGTTTCTGTGCTTTGACTGGCCTTCCCAGCTATGCAGTGTATAGCTTCAGCTTCTGCCATTATTTTCCTGAGACTTTTTAGTATATTTGTATTTCTTACTGTTGAGATATGCAAATAGAAAAATAAATCAAGAAAATGAAACCACTTTGCCTCATTAATTTGGATTTTTCATTTCTAGGATCCTGTTGCCCTTCATGCAATCATATGCCAGGTCGGGAGGTTTTTCTATTACTGGGAAGATTAAAACTGCGCTAATTGAGAATGCTATCTATTACGGGACATACCTCTTGATTTTTGGAGCATTCTTAATATATGTGGCTATAAATCCAAAGATCAACCTACAGTGGTAAGATTGCTAAACATTTACTACTCCGAATCTTTAAAAGACTGAAATTGTTATTTAGTAACTACATTTATGACTGTTTATTTACATTTTTATTATGGTGTTTGACTTTAAGATATTAAACAGGCAGAAGTAGAATTTTACAATGGAATTTTATTGTTTTGAACAGCAGCTCCCAAGCCTATGTTGCAATATGTTATATCTTAATTGCCCAGAATCTCTGTTTAATACTTACTGAGTAATCCCTATTTAAAACGTGGAATTAGTTTAGAGTTAATATGTCATAGAAGATGTCTGTTAGAGGGAACCATTCAAAAAATTCTATCAGAACTGCTTGCTGGGTTCCTATTGTCACTTTTTGAAAAGGACATACCGTTAATTTTCCAGATCTGAAAACATGCATTGTAAGATTGTAGGATCAGTTTTAACAGTATAAAAATGAAAAGTAAATTGAATGTAAGTATGACTTGTTCACTGTTATAATTGGTCAGTACTTTCTTTGTCCACATACTCCTTTTTCTGATGTGATGGATCCTCTGTATTATTTTTCTAGTTTTTTAAATCTTTTTCGTTTGGATGTGTTTAGCAATGAAAGAGATTTCAATAAGGCACCAGTCTGTTCCTTATTAGTACTGTATATACTTGAGCAAAACCTGAGTTTCTCAGCTCTTTTTTATTGCTGAAAAAGGCCCCCTCGGCTTATATTTGAGTGAGGGTCCGGGTTGGTTTATGTTCAAATATATAAGTAATCAGAGTTGGACAGTCTTATCATAAATTACAGTTTTAATTTTCAAAATATTAAATATTCAAAAAAGTTAACCTACGTATGCCTCAATTAATGTAATTTTATTGGTATCTATTTTTATTTTTGAAATTTACCAGTAGCTACTGCTTTTCCCACCCTCGGCTTATACTCGAGTCAATAAGTTTTCCCAGTTTTTTTGTGGTAAAATTAGATGTCTCGGCTTATATTCCAGTCAGCTTATACTCGAGTATATATGGTATTTTAGAGACAGATTTGCAGACTCTTTCATGCAACTTAATTGAGAGAAGCAATTAGTGTTTATCATGCGTAGATGATGTAAAACTGAAAGAACAATCCATAGTAGCAATTGGTTGGAGCTAGGTGTGAAACATTCACACCTAGCTCCAACAGACAAGAGTTCTTTGTCCCACCCTGGACATTCCACAGATATATAAACCCAGTTTTCCTAGTTCCAACAGACCTCACAACCTCTGAGGATGCTTGCCATAGATGCAGGTGAATCATCAGGAGAGAATGCCTCTAGAACATTGCCATATACCCCGAAAAAACCTACAACAACCCAGTGATTCCGACCATGAAAGCCTTCGACAATACATTAAATCTGTACAAATTATCACTTCTGTGCTGAAAATGTGATGTGTGATTTATCAAACTGCATAACCCATTGCAGCAGATCTTTGATGGTTGAATGCCTTTCCCGCCAACAGCTGATGAGTAAAACAATATAGGAGTAAAAAATATTAGATTTGCCATTTCTAGGTCAAGTTCTTTTGTCTTTGTTTTTCTACACAATGCTCCAATTGTCAGAGATGTGGAGAACTGGGTGGGCTTGTATAGTAGACCATCTGGAAAGCCAATATAAGTAGACTGTAAAAGAAAGAAAGAATGGCAAATGCAAAACAAATCAATTCTTCAGTCACTTACTACTCAGAGACTGCATAAAAAAGGGATCATTAGCTAAATAAGAGGTGAAGAAATAAAATGTAGAATAAGATTGCATTTAGCTATTTTTCAAATACTGTTAAAATGTGAGTTAGTATTGTTTATGCCTTGAACAAAGACCATTCATTACTGCATGCTGATTTCATTGTCTCTCTTAGGAATCAACTTCAGACAATTGGAATAGCTGCTGCGAACACCTGGGGCCTCTTTCTCCTAGTGTTGCTTTTAGGGTATGGCCTGGTTGAAATCCCACGCTCTCATTGGAATGGAGCAAAGAAAGGTTTTCTCCTCATGAAGACTTATTTCAAGGTTGCTAAACTGATGACTGAGAAGGCAGACGCAGAAGAAAACCTGGAGGATATTATGGAGGCAAGTGAACTCTGCTACCCAAGTGGGCAGGAAACAATGTCCTTTGGAGATTGTGTGAGGAAGAAATATAGAAAAGTGCAAACTAATATGATGATGGAGGGAATGTCACAAAACCATTGTGACATGGTTTGTGTAATTTCCTGCTCCTGAAATGCTTAACTTGAATTAATGTAAATCATACATTTTCAAAGCTTGCTGCTTTTTTTTTTTTTTTTTTTTTGGAGAATTTGGCATGGGAAAGACATCTGGGGTAAAAATCAGTTCACCACTTATTTCCAAAGAAAAAGTATTGTGGACACAAGGACCCACAAAAAATGGCAAGGATGCTTTATGTAGCCCATGGGTCACAGTTTCCCACGTCTGATCTGTACCATAAAAATAAATTGTAGTGTGTATGGAGGCATTTTAATTTGCTAATACTCATATATATATATATATATATATAGAGAGAGAGAGAGAAAGATTTAAAAGCTAAATGGGAATACTTCTGCTTCCCTAGTAATGCCTCCTGCAAAGCAATTGTTTTTCCATGAAAAACAAGCTATTACTGCCAAGTTGAAAAGTGACACCCAACCCACAACAGTTGCCCACCCGACTTTGAGTGATCATTCAAATCACGTCATAATGTGCATTGGTTTAATTTTTATTTAGGATATATCTGCTAATACTAGTCCCTTTTTAGACATGCCCTGTATCCCAGGATTTGATCCCAGGTTTTCTGTTTATCCCAGATTATCTGGCAGTGTGGACGCATATAATCCAGTTTAAAGCAGAAAATTTGGGATTAGATCCTGGCATATAGGGCCTGCCTGGAAGGGCCCTTAAATTTCAGATCATATTTGTTTCTTTGTGGCTCCAAAATTTGTATTGGAAATCTAAGCATTTCTCCTGTCATTTTAAAACCTTTAAAATACCAGAAGGTGTGAAGAATTTTTTTGAACAGTTCACCCTCTATCTACAGCTTTGTTTTGTAAGAAAATAGATTACTAGTCAACATTATTGATTATACTGTGTGATAGAAGGCCTACTGTGATCATTTTTTAAAATAAATTTGCAAATTCATTATAATTTCAGGGTCTTAACTACATGAAAAGTAAAATATTCCCTTTCTCTTAAACAGGAGGTTCGCAAAGTAAATGAAAGCATCAAATACAATCACCCTTTAAGGAAATGTGTGGATACAATATTAAAGAAGGTAACTAATGGACCTTTGCAATGTTACATTTTGACAAGCATCCCTAGTTAGTTATGAAGCTTTTACAGCAGCACTGCAAAGTGAGTTTTAATCAAGTTACCTGGACAAAATAATAGGTTCCCTCTTCTTCCCTGGTATTTTATTATTATAGTAGGAAATAGTGGTTTATCTCTTAGCCAACCATAGCAACATTTTTTTTTCCTGTCAGGAGCGACTTGAGAAACTGCAGGTTGTTTCTGGTGTGAGAAAATTGGCCGTCTCCAAGGATGTTGCCCAGGGGACACTTGAATGTTTTACCATCCTGTGGGAGGCTTTTCTTGCGTCCCCGCATCGGGAGCTGGAGCAGACAAATGGGAGCTCACCCCGCTCCCTGGATTTGAACCGCTGACCAGTTAGCAGTCCTGCCATCACAAGGAATCACATGGCCCATTGCGCCATCAAGGGCTCCATTTGGCAACAATATAATGTGCTATGATAACTATTGAAAGTAACTAGATCAAGAGAACAGTGCTGACAAATAGCCATTGAAAGTGTACTCAAAGTAGGAGGGAGGAAATCATCCTTCGGCTCTCTTTATTTGTGGAGAATCTTGGCATAGAAAGGGGAAAGAAGAACCAAAAGGCAATGAAAAATGGAGGAGCAGGCAACTGGTTTTTATATTCTGCTTGTAAGGGTCGCATTATATGTCAGACAGGCTGGTATGATACAGTGGTGTTTTATGTTGCCAGTTTGTGTTGAAACCTGTTCTCTTTTCACCTCAGTGTCCTACTGAGTATCAGGAAAGAATGGGTAGAAACATGGATGACTATGAAGATTTTGAAGAAAGACCCAACACTTATCCAACAGAGAAAACCCTGGTCAAACTTCATAAGCAGGTAATTAATTAATGCAAATGTCTTTTTAATGGATTGAGTGCTAGCCTTTTTCTAAGGGGTTCATTATGTGAAGTCATTTGTACAAATTACATGATAAACTAAATTCTAAATGGTTTGCAAAACAGTCATTGTCCAGTGTAATGGTTTTTAATAAGTAGCTCTGTAACATTTTATGGTGTTTTTAACAACTTATACATATTGCAAAACGATGTTGCCCAAAGCATGACAATACTCAGCTCAAAAGTTGCAATGAAGAAAGATGGAAATTATAGCTACAATGATTAAAGAGAAAGAATAGGAAAGAGTGACAAAGAAAGACAAATATATATGTTCTAATTGCAGGTCACAAACAATGACAGTGTTCCCTCAGGGAGATAGGTGTGGGATATAAATAAAGATTATTATTATTATTATTATATGAACCATAGGAGACAATTTGGTAGTAATTGCTGTTCATATTACCAGTTTTAATAGGTTGAATATATATATAAGAGCCAGCAAGGTGTAGTGGTTTGGACAGACTATGACTCTGGAGACCAAGGTTCGAATCCCTCTTTGGCCTTAAAAACCCACCGGGTGACTCAGGGCAAGTCACTCTTAGCCACAGAGGAAGGGCAAAGGCAGACTCCCTCTGGAAACAAAGCAATGAATTCAAACTGAAGGGGAAAAAGATTCCAGTTAAAGCAAAATATGCTGCTTTGTAGCATGTTGGAGTCTCCTTCGCTTGAGGTTTTTAAGCAGAACCTGGATGGCCATCTGACAGCAGTGCTTTGATTCTATGTTCCTGCTTGGCAGAAGGGGGTTAGCCTGGATGGCTCTTGTGGTCTCTTCCAATTCTATTATTCTATGGACAGATCTTGCCAAGAAAACCTTTTGTTAGGGTTGCCATAAGTCGGAAGTGACTTGGAGGCACACTACAACCATAAAAGTTGTATGTACTGAGAAGATAAAGTATACTTTGTCAGTCACTTACTGGTGTATTTGAGTAACATGTATGAAATGCATTTCTCTTTCTTACTTGTTATTATTACCATAAGCAACTGGGATATTGATTTTATTCTGTTAGGTAATTTACTCGGTTCAAAGGCATCGCCGCACACAGGTCCAGTGGCAAATTCTCTTAGAACAAGCCTTTTACCTGGAGGATGTGGCAAAAAACGAAACTAGTGCCTCCCGTCAGTTTGTTCATACTTTTCAGCCTCAAGAACCTGAAAGCAAAATCACGCAGTATTTCTACACGCCAGCAATTGGTATGTGCCTGTCATGAAGATAATAGAATACAGTCTTTTAAACTAAGGCTAGAAAATACAGTAAAAACGGTCAGCAGTTATCTGTGACTTGTTAGCAGATTATTCCAAAAATATAACATTCAAGGTTGCCATATTTGCAGTTGCAGCCCAAAAAATCCGAGCGAAATTAGTAAAGTCCACAGCGGAGGATGGAAATGGAGATAGTTTGGGATGATACGAATCAGACATTGTTATTGTTATCATGTCATTGCTACCGTAATTTTAAAGAGCCAGTATGGAATAAGTTTTAATGCTTATATTGGAAAATGCTTATAGTACTTTTAAAGGTTGTTTATTATTTAATGTCATGGCCTATGGCTGGTACAAGAAACAATTCAATTCATTCAGTAAAAACAAAGGGCTGAGCCTAAGTTTAGTACTAGTTGGTCTAGAGCAGGCATGGGCAAACTTTGGCCCTCCAGGTGTTTTGGACTTCAGCTCCCACAATTCCTTAAAGGCTGTTAGGAATTTTGGGAGTTGAAGTCCAAAACACCTGGAGGGCCAAAGTACCCATTCTACTCTAGACCAACTGAAATAATTGGAATATGTTACTCGCTACTTATAGAAGTTTCCTTAATTGCAATGCAATAGTAATTGAATGGAGCCCCCAGTGGTGCAGTGGGTTGAACCGCTGCGCTGCTGAACTTGCTTACCGAAAGGTCGCAGGTTTGAATCCAGTGAGTGGTGTGAGCTTCCACTGTTAGCCCCGGCTTATACCAACCTAGCAGTTTGAAAACATGTAAATAGGTACTGCTCTGGCAGGGAGGTTACGGCACTTCATGCAGTCATCCTGGCCACGTGACCTTGGAGGTGTCTACAGACAACTGCAGCTCATTAGCTTAGAAATGGAGATGAGCACCAACCTCCAGAGTCAGACACGACAGGACTTAATGTCAGGGGAAAACCTTTACCTAATGCTTACTCCAAAGATTTCAATAATAATAATGATAATCATCATTATCATCTTTATTTGTATATCGCCCTATCTCCCCAAAGGGACTCAGGGCGGTTTCCAACATGTAAGGCAAACATTCAATTGCCGGAAAGAAACTATACAGACAATTACATTATAATAACACATTCGACAATATAACACAGCCTAATAAACTTAATAGACAAAATAACAGCAACTAAAAACATCATAAAAATACCAAAAATATGCTAAAACACATTAAAGATTAAAAAATATTTAAAACCCATTCAATTCAAAATTCAACTCATATTTGAATTCCATTTGGGGAGAAAGATGGGATATATATTCAATGAATAAATAAATAAGCAGACAAATCTGTCATAGACACTTTGCCCACAAACTCTGTTCCCCTTCTTCCCTTCACCTTCCCCCATAGGCATGTAGTGCACAAGATGCTGGGAGACTTGAACATTTCTATATTGGTCCTGCACCATCTTCCAACCCTTCTTCTCTCTTCAGGCAAAATTGTTAACTCTTAGAGCTGCTGTTAGTAGGAGCAATCAGATTATAAACGGATTTTTACATTTCCTTCCCTTTTACTCATTTAAGAACTTTTACTAACATACAAAGTGGGATTAGAAAGAGGAGAAATAAAAGTTTATTTGAGAGCCTATGGAAGCCATCTAATTGTACGTGTGAAAAAGATCTTGGAGTCCTCGTGGACAACAAGTTAAATATGAGCCAACAATGTGATGTGGCGGCAAAAAAAGCCAATGGGATTTTGGCCTGCATCAATAGGAGCATAGTGTCTAGATCTAGGGAAGTAATGCTACCCCTCTATTCTGCTTTGGTTAGACCACACCTGGAATATTGTGTCCAATTCTGGGCACCACAGTTCAAGAGAGATATTGACAAGCTGGAATGTGTCCAGAGGAGAGCGACTAAAATGATAAAAGGTCTGGAGAACAAGCCCTATGAGGAGCGGCTTAAGGAGCTGGGCATGTTTAGCCTGAAGAAGAGAAGGTTAAGAGGGGATATGATAGCCATGTATAAATATGTAAGAGGAAGCCACAGGGAGGACGGAGCAAGCTTGTTTTCTGCTTCCCTGGAGACTAGGACGCGGATAAATGGCTTCAAACTACAAGAGAGGAGATTCCATCTGAACATGAGGAAGAACTTCCTGACTGTGAGAGCCGTTCAGCAGTGGAACTCTCTGCCCCGGAGTGTGGTAGAGGCTCCTTCTTTGGAAGCTTTTAAACAAAGGCTGGATGGCCATCTGTCAGGGGTGATTTGAATGCAATATTCCTGCTTCTTGGCAGGGGGTTGGACTGGATGGCCCATGAGGTCTCTTCCAACTCTTTGATTCTATGATTCTATGATTCTAATTGCTATATATGCCAGAGTAATAACCAATTAGATCAATAAGATTTTGTTTAGATGACTCAGGCACGATATCTCTATTATTGAGAAAAATCGGTAATAGCTAAGAATTATCTAGTTAGAGGACTGACAGGGAAGTTGTATGTAAATGTCTATGACTTGGAGAGAGGAGGGAGCATGAATTTCTACTAACCTCCAAATTGTTTTTCCTCAGAATGGTATTGGGAGTGTCTTCTGCGACCATGGTTTCACAGGATTCTTGCCATTGTTTTAGCCACTTTTTCTGTCATTGTTGTCTGGTCGGAATGCACATTCTTCAGTACCAGGCCGGTTCTCTCCCTGTTTGCTGTCTTCATACAACTAGCAGAAAAGAATTACAACTATTTCTATATAGAGGTCAGTTTCCCAAATCTTACGTTTGAGCCTTTTAACACAGTTTTTAATACTGTCCTCTGGTACTTACCTTGTAAGTCACTCTGAATCCCCTTCAGGGTGAGAAGGGCAGCATATAAATGTTGTAAACAAACAAATAAATAAATAAATAATGCTTAATTGCTGTAAAGTCAGTGTTGACTTAGGGTCATTCTATGAAGGAAAGACCTTCAAGAGCAATGGTCTTTGACAGCATTGCTCAGGTCTTGCAAACTGAAGGCTGTGGCTTCACTGATTAACTCAACCCATCTATAATGTAGGTTTTTTTCTTTTCCTGTTTCCTTCCACTTTACTGAGCATTATTATCTTTCCAGTGAGTCATGCTGTCTTATGATAGGTCTGAAGTACAAGAGCCTTGGTTTTGGCTTCTAATGAGAGCTCAGGCATGATTTTTTTTTATCTCAGACCCATTTGTTTGCCTCATTGGCAGTTTGAGGGTATACACAGAACTCTTCTCCAGCAGCACATCTCAAAGGAATTGGGGTTTTTTATGTTTCTTCACTATCATACATAGACACTGGAAATATTGTGGCTTTCTTTTGAGTATATCTTTATATTTGAGTCTGTTAAACAATTCTGTATACTTTTAAGTCTTTTATGCACCTTATTTAGCAAGAAAAGTGTTTATTCCCAGTAAAAATAAACTAGATTGAACTCAGACATTGACATTTTGTTGAATTCATTGGGTTACTATGTAGGGGAAGCAAAGGGGTGAATCTGGAATAGCCAGAGTTCAGTGTATCATGGATGGAGATCTCTTGGCCCTTTTAGGTATTTACAGTCCTTACCTTTGGCCATGCTGAGTTGGACTGATGGGAGTGGTAGTCTTCAACATCTGCCAAGGCAAAAGTTTCCCACCTTTCCTCCCCCAGAAGTTTTAAAAATCTGTACCTTCACCATCTCTGTCTTCTGGAGTGTGGTGGAGGCTCCTTCCTTGGAAGCTTTTAAACAGAGGCTGGATGGCCATCTGTCAGGGGTGATTTGAATGCAATATTCCTGCTTCTTGGCAGGGGGTTGGACTGGATGGCCCATGAGGTCTCTTCCAACTCTTTGATTCTGTGATTCTATGATTCATTGTATCTTACCAGCTTCATAACATTAATAAGCCGAAGGCTGCTGAAAATCAATTTCCAGAGTGGCCATAGCACTCTTGAAATAGGGTCCATTTTTTCCTGAGTAACTCATAGATATCTAATTATATGCTAATGTGAAAAATGGCAAGGTTACAGCCATCTCTGTGGCTAGCATTTTGTGGAAAGGTATTATATAAATTGGTGGCAACTGTTCACATGAAACTGCCTGATGCACATTGACCTTTCATATTTATATTCTTATGCATATTACTTCAAAAGAAATTTAGAAATTTGAACTATTCCTATGAGCATGCATCATTATCAAAATGCATGGCTAGGAAAGCCAGATCATGGTTAATCATGTTGGTAGTGTTTGTTTTGTCCAGTATGCAAGCGTATTATATGCCGTCTTATTTTTGCCTGCTCTGCTTTCATGCTGTACTCCTTTGAACAAAGAATACAAACAACTTATACAACCTACTGTTTGTTTAGTATCTAAAAATCTGTGTTCCGTATAAGCTTAGTGGAATTCAAACCAAATTTATCCTTCTTACCTTGCAGATGGCTTGCTTCTTTACTATCTTTTTCCTCAGTATCTGTGTTTACTCTACTGTCTTCAGGATCCGTGTATTCAACTACTATTATTTAGCTTCCCATCATCAGACAGATGCATATAGTTTACTTTTCAGTGGCATGTGAGTAGATGATTTACTTTGTTGCTTGGCTAGTTGTAAACATTTAAGATTAAGTAAAGGGAACATTCAGTATAACATACTTGAAATTTGGATCTGGGTCTCTTCTCATGGAATGGGGCATGGAAAGATTTGACTTTTGTTGCACTACTCCCATTCAGCCCATATCAGTTTCTGCTGCTCCATTCTCCAGGTATCTGGATCCAATCCAGCATATATGAATTCTGATAAATAGGGAAGCTCTTATAGAGAGCAGTAAATATTAAACTATGCACTTATCCCCCCAAAATTGAAATAGACAAAGATGAGCAATACCAAGATGTACGTATAACATGCATGCATGAATATTTCTATATATCTCAGTGATAGGGGCTCTCCAGATGTTGAAGTGCTGCTTTCATAAGCCTTGGATAGCATAGCCAATGGTGAATTCTAGCTGAAGCTAGAATCCAAATAATCTTCCCTATTTCTGGTACATATCATATATAGAAGTTTTCATGTCATTAATTGGCCATATCTTAGAAACAGAATTGGATCCTAAATGCAGAAGAAATGATTTCAAATTTGCGACCTGTTTTCATGCAGGCTGTTCTGCCGTTTGACTCCCCCATTATGTCTGAATTTCCTGGGCCTCACTCATATGGATTCATCGATTTCTAAAAGAACCACTGATCAGCCAACTGCATATACATCCGTAAGTAAACAGATACGTAAGATCTGTAAGTGAGGTATTATTTTGCTACAGTTTGTTTTAACACTACGGTTGGCCCTCCATATCCACGGATTCAAAAATATATAAAAAAACAAGTTCCAAAGAGCAAACCTTGAGCACCCACAGATTTGGGTATTCACAGGAGGCCTGGGAACTTATGAATCCATGGATACCAAGGACCCACTCCAGATTCTAACTTGTTTTCTCAGAGGAATTAATAAAAATCGCTGAAATTATTAATTACAGTACTTTTAAGGTTTGTTTTTTTTCAGTTGAGAGTTTCCTAATAGGTGTCTTTACATAATGTTTAAAAAAACCTTTTTATTGATAAATCAAACTATACAATTCACCATTTTGGACACAAGGTGGCAGGAAAGGTATGACAAATACATATACAATGACTCCACTAAGGCTGAAAAATCCACTAATTTGAAGACCACTGTGAAGCTATTGCATGAATTACAATGGAGTTTTTACTGGGACCAATAGTTAAGGCTATATTCTTTCTTTCTAATCATTACAAGAAAACGGTATCCTTTTATCATTAACAAACAATGATACTAAGATTTGTTGCTATTTTAAAACACATTTTCTTGAAAAAATGTTTAAATCAATATTTATTAGGCTTTGCATTCATGTATGCTTTCTGGAATGAGTTAACCCATTATAAACAACTGTTGGCACACACGTGGATGCTTGTTTCCAAAACGTTTATCCATGTGAATAAATTTTACAGGAATTGAAAAGAAAAAACATAATTTTTCTACAAAATACAGTTTTCCAAGCCCTGTACTGAAGTGATTTGATACATTTTGTACATCATACTCCTAGCCAACAATGCACTGCCACACATTTTTCTTTTTTCTGTTTTTTTTTTGTACTTTTCGGAAACAGACTCCACATATATAGAGCAATATTACTTCAGCAGATACCGTGTGGCCTGAAAATATTATAATAAAAACATCTGAGCAGTTATCTATCAATACAAGATTTGTGTTTTTAAAAACAAGCTAAAGACCAGAGATTTATCATTCTATTGCTTTTTACCTTCCAGATTATGGGATCCATGAAAGTATTATCCTTCATTGCAGATGGCTTTTACATCTATTATCCCATGCTGGTTGTCATCCTCTGTATTGCTACTTACTTCAGGTAGATAACAAATTTCTTAATTTGTTTTCTAAAATGTTGATTTTTTAAAAAATTGCCACCCTTTTTTTCAAAGTAAGGCCAGCTTCAAACATGTATTCAGTAATTCCTGCTGATTTATTGATCTCTGAGAGTCCACTCAAAGGCACAAAAGTAAATAATGAAGCGTGTTACCTCAGTCAGCTCCAAAGCTCCATACATCGCCATTTTACCACCATCATTGTTGAAGTTTTTAATCATCCATGGTTCTTCACTTTCCACGTCTCTCTTTCTTCGTAGTTAGTGATGCTTATAATGTTAGTCAGTACTTTCCAACTGAATAACCTTCTTGAGTTAGGTAGTAGTGACAAAACTGAAGTTATGCCACAAAAATCTACAACAAGCTGCTCTAAGCATCATTTATTTGGCATCTTGTCCCATATTTAACTGAATCCACATTTTGTTAGTTGTGTAGTTGACATGTGCTCCCTGAATATTTCCATTATACTATGTAACTAAATTTGATTTTTTTTCTGTTGCTGGTTTGAAAGTGTCATTCCTGTTTAATTGTATGGTACCATATATACTTGAGTATAAGCCAACCCGAATATAAGCCGAGCCACCTAATTTTACCACAGAAAACTGGGAAAACGTATTGACTCGAGTATAAGGCGGGAGTGGGAAATGCAGCAGCTACTGGTAAATTTGAAAATAAAAATAGATACCAATAAAATTACATTAATTGAAGCATCAGTAGATTAAATGTTTTTGAATATTTAAGCTAAGACTGTCCAACTCTGATTAAACCATTATTTTAACCTTCAGTGTAAATGTGCCTACGTATCCTTCCAATAATAATAGAGTAAAATAATAAATGTAATAATAAATTGAGTAAAATAAAGTAAATGTAATAATAATAATAATAATAATAAAAATAATAATAATAATAAATAGAGTAAAATAATAAATGTAATAATAATAACAGTAAAATAATAAATAACACTGAGTTTAAGCCGAGGGGAGCTTTTTCAGCCTAAAAAATATATACAGTACTTACTTTGAAAGTGGTTGTTATACTCCAGAAACTTCATTTTTGTGGCTGCTACAAGCTATGTTGAAATGGTTGAGACATTATAACAAAATGTGCTGCAAGATGCCCCATAAAAACAAAGTTTTTGTAGTTTAATAAACTTTTTTCATGCTTTTATGATATAATCAATTAAGAAATGACATTTATAACCCAGGAACAAAAATGTATAACATAGAATTGTTCTTAGTTATCACTTTCATTGGCTAATTCTTGATGTGCATTTTTCAGTTCTGTTGTGTTATTTTCATTATTTCCATTATATGTTTTTAATCAGTTTAGGAACCCGGTGTTTGAATCTTCTAGGATTCCAGCAGTTTATGGGAGACAGCGAGATGACATCAGACTTAATAGATGAAGGAAAAGAGTTAATCCGTAGAGGTAAAAAATGCCTTTCTACTGTGAAATATATTCTCATCTCAGTAACACAATTTTATTATAACCCCTCTCCCTAAACTTTGCTTTATAAATATATTAGAAACTCTGGGATGAGGCCCATACAGAAATGAGAAAGTGAGGGGTGATCGGTATGTCGATTACATTGACATTGCACCTTATTTCTGTCTCACCATATATTTAAATTAATTTCACTATTCTAGAAAAAAGAAAGCGGCAAAGACAAGAAGATGGAGAAAACAGAAGAAGGGTATGTGGATAATTCAGTTATTATTGTCAGTAAAAGATAGGATTAGAATTAAAATTTGGGGCATTTCTGTAAAAGGCAATCCAATTCTATGCAGAGTTTGAAGGCCTAGGTCTTCAGAGAAGCTATTATTATATTATTTTGATAATAAGAGTGCCTTGGACGACAAGAAGATCAAACCAGTCCATACTCCAGGAAATAAAGCTTGACTGCTCATCGGAGGGAAGGATATATGAGGCAAAGATGAAGTAGTTTGGCCACATAATGAGAAGACAGGAAAGCTTGGAGAAGATAATGATGCTGGGGAAAATGGAAGGAAAAAGGGCCAAGGGCAAGATGGATGGATGTTATCCTTGAAGTGACTGGATTAACCTTTAAAGGAGCTGGGAGTGGCCACGGCCAACAGGGAGTTCTGGCATGAATTGGTCTATGAGGTCACAAAGAGTCGAAAGCAAGTGAACAAATAATCACATAGCTTGAATCAATTGTGTTTTAATCCACTTGGGACACTGATTAGTTACTTTTTTGTAGCTTAGCTCAGAAAACTAATGTTGGTTTTAATCATTTTGAATGTATGTCCCTTCAAGCCTAGTAAAGAAAATAGAGTATATTTTAGAACTTATACATGGCTGATGGGTTGTCTTGTTATTATGCCGGCTATAGTTTCCAAGCAAATGAACTCGTAAGGGTTCCAGAGAACAGAATGTATATGAACAATGTCAGAATATCAGGAATAATTAAATAGAACCATGGTAAAGGGAATATCTTAGAAATCTATTATTATTATTATTATTATTATTATTATTATTATTATTCACTTCTAGAAAAACAACAAATGAATTAAAATAAAATATTAATTTATCATTATCATTAAATATCAGACATAATATATAGTGGCATATTTACGTGTCTCTTATGTGTTTTGGTTCAGGAGTGGAAAGAACGGTATGGAAACAACCGTGAAGATTCTGCCAGAAACAGAAATGTTCAAGCAGAGCAAAAGGAATCCAGTTTCACAGAGACAAACACAAATAGATGTAAGAATTTATCATTTTTGATACTTTTAGTCGCTATCACAATCTTGCTGTCTCTTTCAGAGTAGTCTCGAGTACTTCCCAGTACTGCAATAAGTTACTCTCTTAGGTATTGTTTTACTTTCTCAGCCATGATAGCTTTTAATCGTTTTTATAATGTTTGATTTTATGTTTATTGATGTTTGATATTGCTTGTTTTTCGATGCTTATTTTAACCTGTTTTGTTGGGCATGTCCCTTTGTAATCCGCCCGAGTCCCTTCGGGGAGAGGGAGACAGGGTATAAAAATAAAGTTGTTGTTGTTATGCAATGAATATGTTCATGGTTGACTCTCATGTAATTGTGGCAAAGCATACATACATCTTTCTTACTTTCTGTCAATGAAGCAGCGAAGACCCATCTCATATATCAGGCAGGATTCTTTTAATATATGTGTGTTATGGCGACAATTTTTATGTTTATATTTTGTTTTGTTAATCTTATGGTTATGTTGTTTTTTTACTTTGTATGTTTTGTGATGTTACCTGGGAACTGCTCCGAGTCCCCTCGGGGAGATGGAGTGGTATATAAATAAAGTTTTATTATTATTGTTATATATCTGATGTTCACTTTTAGTTAAGCATGTTGGTCCCAAACTTTCAATCCTTTGTTGGAAGGCTTAGTTCAATCCCCAGTGATCTTTGTTGCAGTCAACTGCACAATACCAAGTTCACTTAAAAAAGTCAAATAAACCTTTTCTAACCTGGTGGGAGATATTCTGTAGGCCTAAATCTCATTGCTAGCTTTCTAAAATAATTGAATCATCTGCTATGAATCTTAAGTCAACACTTATCAGTTGTTTCATTTCCCCCTCTGCTGCTGCTAGGAGGAACCATCAGCAGCAGAGGGAGATATTGAGCAACTTAGTTTAAGCAGCCAGTTCTTAACCTTGGGAAAAAAGTTGCTGAGCCATTATTTATTTTGAATGTCTTCGAATTTTTTTTCTCTTGCAGCAGTATCCTCTAAATACACCAGGGCAAATGGGAGGAACGAAAGGGACAGAGTAGAGCTACTCCAAGATGCAGAACCTCTGGATTTTAATGCTGACTCAGTTAATGACGATCCTCTTGATTCTGAATCAGGAAGGTAAGCCATATTCAGGGAGATGGGAAGGCAGAATCGCCAACCAGTATCAAAATGGCACACAATAAATAGCTTCTTTCTCTTGATCCTTCTAATTCTCATGAGTGAATTCCCGTAGGATAAGCCCACTACGTAAAGAGAGGACCCAGTGTGCCATTTATTAACTTGAGGGAAGATGTCTTATACAATTGCGTCAGTGGTGAAAGCTAAACTGGTGGGGAAAGTGAGTGAGCTATTTATTGGGATGGGATGATATAATCATCTAGATTTGTTATATAGATTTTTTTTTGGAAAATGGACAAGATCCATTGCTAGTTCTTGTTAGAGTAATTTTTTGGAATCAATGGAATTTACATAAGTAATCCCTAGCAATAGCATTCTTTTCAGCGGGTCTACCCTGATTGGTTTTAGCCTTATGTCTATTAGTCTGTATACAGTATTGCTGCATTACTGGGATTTTATATTCTAAATACATATTCTAGCTTTGGCTCCTCCATGTCTTGTACCAAAAAATTCTAGAGATAACCACACTGTCTTCTGAACTACAGCTCCCAGCATCCCCTAGACCAGGCCCGTTAGGAGAGGAGGAGGATCCAAATGCACTGCTTCCAAGCTGCAAGATTTCTTCTCCTTAGATTTCTTTGAGAGCATGCTAATCCCTGCATATTTCCAATTTTCTATTCCTGGACTGCAATCCTCCAGATAGATAGATTAGATAGAGATAGATAGATAGGTAGGTAGGTAGGTAGGTAGGTAGGTAGGTAGATAGCTCAATCAGGAGGACTGCTGGGAGTTGCAGTCCAAGAATAGGTAAAGAAGGAAGAAAGGGGAAAAAGAGGAAGGGAAGAGGAAGACAAGGAAGGAAGGAGAGAAAGAAAGGAGGAGAGAAAGATGGAGGGAAGGTTGGCCACAGCAACACGTGGCTGGTACAGCTAGTTTGTATGTGTATATATATATATATATATAGATATATAGATATATAGATATAAAATTTCCTTTTGATTATAATTGGGGTTATTGTTGAACCATCCGCTATTAACTTTCTCCTGTATTTGTTCCATATTTCTAACATATTTGGACCGTGTGATGTATAATTTAAGTTCTACACACTTTTTTCTTTATACACCTTGCAGGTATCAACCTGGCGGAAGATACCTGTCAATGTCACGAAGCAGAATATTCGATGACGTCTAAATCCTCTGAATTCTTGAGTCATCTCTCCATAGCTTTGGGGAAAATGCTCTTTCAGTAATGTATTCTGCAACCAAAACAACCTCGCTTTACAAAAATCAAATGGAATGTGGGAAATTAGGAACTTTCCCCCTTTAAAGATGCACTTTGTATAATGCAGTGCTCATTTTGGGATGGGCAAAAGAGCATTGCTTTCTGAAACTGGGACCTCCTCAGCAGTGCCTTTCCCATCTTTCTCCTTGCTCCTGCATAACCCATGCTGCAACTGTTACCACAACGTGGGAATTATGAGCTGTAGGTTGGTGGGAGTGTGGCAAGAGAGAAAGTGTGTGACACTAAAGAAATTGTGGAAGAAGAGAGTTGGGAGTGGAGGGGGAAATTGGAAGACAGACACTGACCATTGTGGCAAGGAGTCTTGCCTTTCACTGTTGGTTATATATGCTGGCATCACTTCTTTTGAAGTCGGGACTTTTGTGTTAAAATTTTAGAAGCCTCTTTGTTAGAGTTTAGTTGTGGTTTGACAACTATTGATTTGTAAAAATATATGATTTTGTATTTTAAAGATGGATCAGGGAAACTGTTCTTGGCTTGTAAAAGGTTATTGTAGATTGGGTTTTAAAATAAATACATGTCAGGGCTCAAACAGAGTTTCCATTTGTACAATTTGGACAATTCTTAGGTTTTCTCAATTCTTAATTGGAGAGGTTTTAAGCATAATTCTGTACAAAATAACATTTTGGAATGCCTATGCATCTATTGACAAGAACTAAACATAACTTCTGTCAGCACTATATGCGTATGAAATAGCATTTGCTGTGCATGATAGCAATGACCCAGTAGAAATCTTAAGTGTTTACCAGTACTGTTTTAAAAATCCACATCTGCTAGCATGTGCTCAAGGAAGAGAGAAGACCCATCACAGAGATTTCATTTAAGACTTGGAAATAGCTGCTGAAAAACCCTCTTTCAGCTAAACCAATTTCAATTTTATGGCTCTGGATGTTTTAGGTTTTAATCTTCACTACAAACAAACTGAACACTTCAGCGTAGTAATGTACATTTTATATAGCTCGTACAGTGCTAAACTGGACCTGTCTTTTGAATAATGTGAATAGCATGCTTATTGCTGAACAACACAAGCCACATTCTGGTTGTATTGCCTTACATAAGGAATCTCAGTTTTAAGATATACTTCTTGTGGTCAATATCTTTGTTTTTTCATTGTAAAAGTAGTTGCTCTTTCTAACTAAGGCTCTTTAATAAAAGGCCAATTTGTGAGCCATGTTAGCCAAAAATAGTCAACATAACTGGCTTTGTGACTGTCAGGTAGAAATACATTCATGACAAATGGCGACAGTGGTTTTAAGGAAAACGTGAGTCCATGATTTAGTCAGCATTGTTTGAAACTACAGTTAATTATTAAGAGTAATCACTCTTCATGTGCATTTGGGACTTACTTTGATCGGTTCGTGTCCCGGCTTTCCGTTGGGGCCCTGATCCGTTTTTATCTGAGCCTCCCAAAATCAGGAGGCCAGATACTTGTTTTTTGTTTGCAGGGCCAAAGATCTTTTTCTTTCAACCCATTTGGGGGGGGGGGGGAGCTTCACCCGTAGGCCCAAAGTACCCGGGCCTACAGGTGCAGGCTGGGTCTACGCACCTAGGCCTCACAGGGCCTTCAGCCAAGCGCCAAGTAAGGAGCCCTAGGAAATCAATCCAAAAAGCAGGCTTGGAGCCAGTACCTGCTCTCACCTGCCTTTCATATTGATTGCATTTTCGTTCCAGGAGGGGCTTTTCCATTTCGTGACATCCAAATGGATGTCACGAAACTGAAACAAGTATCAAATGAATGGACAAATTTCAGGCCCATTACTAGTAACCACCATATGGTAAACATAAAAGTACCTCAGATAGCAAGGTTTTGACGCATACACACTGTTGATTCCAACAGATTAAAGCAAACTTAACATAGTGCTGGATTGGTCTGAACTGATAGTTACAATTCTGTGACTGACTCGTTTGAATTGTAACATTTAGTTTAAGCTTCTTGGGAGAGGTTAATGGTGCTGATGCAATTCATGATACCTTCAGTGAAGTAGCATTTTAAGAATGTATTTATTGAATAGCTGTTGAAGATACTTGACACCATGAAGTTGACGTGAGACTTGAAATAGTTTCCGAATCCCAATGCAGGAACATCTCTCGGCATCAGCCACTTCCTCTCGGCAAAAGATACCACCAAAAGAGATGTTCGTCTTGCAAATGCTTGTGACATTTAATGACAAAGTTGGCCACAGCTAACTGGAAAGTTTCCAGGAACTTATGAAGCGTTTCATCAATAGATTATTGTAGATTTTAATATTACACCCATGTTTCAGAAATATTGAGGAAAGTATTAATTTGCTGTATCAATTTTTAAAGGCAAGAGAAGTTATTTAAAATATTTGAGCCTCTGAGAACTATTGAATCCATGTGTTTTTATAATACTTTCAGAGATATCCGATTGCTTTTTGTAACAATATGTTCTTTATGCCTGAGGAGAATTTTGTTATAAACTTATATTGAGAACCATAAGAACTCGCTGGCAGAAGCCGTCGATCGCTCAGGTCACTTACTTTGGAACATATGTGGAAAGTTCATTGTTGACAGGGACTGCCATAGAAGTCTAGGTAAATCCTGAAATTGGGACTTTGGGGTCAGCCTTGGGGTGACTTTCTGCATGATTCAAGATGTTCTGGCTTCAAAATTATATATATATACACTGTGCCTCACTGGATTTGCCTTAGGGAGATAGAAGTGTAAACTAGTACCATACTTGGCAATTCTGTGATGCCAGACGGCTTTGACATAAGCATGGATAGAAATATAAGTCTGCATGTTCCAAATATTGCTGAAATGTTGGTGGTCTTGCTTTTTACACACTTCAAGTCCAAACATAAGTATTGAGGATTTTTTTTTTGCATAGAGTAGTACAACAAGCCACTAAAGTGAATAATACACAAGATTGTAGGGTTTTATTCCAGTAATTGTCAATTTCTATAATACTAGCAGTACTTGGGTTCAACTGTGTTGAGATTTTGTGAAGTTCAACGTGTTAGTGATGCAGATCGGGTTCTTTTCCCCGTAATTTGTAAGAATTTTACAGTGAAGTAAAATTGTGTGCTGTTTCTATAAAAAAATATTTCTTGTTTTAACACAGCTCTTAAAAATATGACTTTCTTATTCACTGTTATCATGGAAAATCTGTATTTGTCATTGATTTCTTTCTCTGATAATGCCTCATGGCATACTTCTTGCTCTGAGAAATCATTGCTTTGTAAACACCAGAATTGTATATTGGAGTCATGAACAATGAGATGTATATTTGCTGATAGTGTATAATGGTTATTTATATAAAACAAGGAATATATTAATTACTGTCTTCTAAATTAAAATAAAAGGTAATATTGTATATTAGTTGAAATTAAAATTAACTTTATTACATCATACTTCTTGGTTTGTTTTTGCTTTACAATAAGTGCAGGAAAAATTATCACGATTGAAAACAGATTTATTTATTTATTTATTGTGTCAGGAGCAAATTGAGAATACAATTATAATATGTAGAAAAACCACAAACAAAGTTAAAAACTTGGCATTATACAAAATTTCCTTTGACCAGAAGCTGGCTACTTTGAGTGCCTCTGGTGTCGCTTTAAGAAGATCCTCCATTGTGTATGTGGCAGGGCTCAAATTATATTGTAGCAGGTGGTCTGCTAATTGCTGTTCTCCGCACACGCATATCGTGGACTCTGCTTAATAGCCCCATTTCTTAAGGTTAGCTCTGCATTTCGTGGTGCCAGAGTGCAGTCTGTTCAGCGCCTTCCAAGTTGCCCAGTCTTCTGTGTGCCCAGGCGGAGTCTCTCATCTGGTATTACCCACTGATTGAGGTTCTGGGTTTTAACCTGCCACTTTTGGACTCTCGCTTCCTAAGGTGTTCCTGGGAGTATCTCTATAGATCTTAGGAATCTGTTTTTTGATTTATGGCATTGGCTTGCTGGCTGATATCCGAACAGAGGATGGGTCGGAGATGTCAGTGCCTTGGTCCTTCCATTACCGGCTGCTACTTCCCGGCAGATGTCAACTGGTGCAATAATGGCTAAGCAGTATAATTTCTCCAGTGGTGTAGGGAGTAGACATCCTGTGATAATGTGTCATGTCTCATTATGAGACATTAATCTCTTAATTAAGAGATTATAATGTCTCAATGAGACATTGAAAACAGATAACTCAGATTGAAATATGACCAGATTGAAATATTTTCATGATTAAAAACCAATAACTATAAATTAGAAATGTATGTTTTCATATGCTATATGGGCATATTTCTCTTTTAAAACAAGCAGATTTCCTCTGACTGTAATACTCCAATGAGGTGTAATTACGCACAGCATATTGCCTTGCTTTGTTTCTCAAAATTGCACACATGTTTTGTAAATTATAGACTTGTTTGGTTGAAAAGGTATACAGTGTTCTCTCACTTATCGTGGGTGTAACGTTCCAGAACCACCCGCGATAAGTGAAAATCCACGATGTAAGGAAGCCCAGGCTAGATGAGAAGAGCAAAAGAGAAGAAGAAGAGCATCCCTGAGCACTGGTAGCCGGTGGTGACAGCGCAGCAGCAGCAACTCCCTCCTCCACCACCTCTTCCTTCTCTTCCTCGGGAGTTGCTGCTGCTGCGCTGTCACCGCCTGCTGTAAATGATCGGGGGCACTCTTCTTGACCTTCGCTCTTCTTCTCATCCTGCCTGGGCCACAGGCCTTCCCGTTGGGCAAGTTCTTCCCAGCCCAGTAGCGGCTCGGCTGAGGCCTGTGCTCACCCTCTTCCTCCGCCTCCTCCTCCTTCCCTGACACCTCCTGGCCTGAAGGGAGCAATGCCTCACCACATCCCGGGGCTCCAGCATCCTCCAGCCTCACCATTTGCCAGCACCTGGCTCCCCCTCCTCTTCCTCCTCTTCCTCCTCCCCCCCCCCCCCCCACGGCTTGCGGGGGGAGGAAAAACCCGCAAAACAGCGAGTCCACAATAAGCAAACTGCGAAGTAATGGAGGAACACTGTATTTGGAACTAACCAAAACAAAGTTTGCATTAAATAATTTCCTTGATAGTTTTGTTGGCATTTTCCCTGGGAAAACAATTAGTGTTTGAATACCTCTGTGCAATGTTGATTTCTGTTATGTGTTCTGGAATACCACTACCTTGGGCAACCATTGCAGTAACCTTGTAGAATAAAGTAATAGTGTACTTGGAACACTGTGAAGAAGTCAAACTCAGAGGTTACAGTCTAGTATGGTTTTTGCTGATCGAAGGAGGTGATTTCTTTGTTTTACTATAGCTTCCCAAAATCTTGCTTGGAGAGACTTGGAAACCTTGCAGAGCTGTTTTTCTAGCAGCTGGGATGACTGCAAGGGAAGAAAGTCAGTTCCATCATGTTGCTGCATCAGCATAACCGTGGACTTAGGACTGAGATATGATAGATAGCAGAATGAAAAGGAGAACGAAGCAGGGGTATAGCAACACTGACATTCACCTTTTGTTTATGCAATGTTCTCACCAACACAAAAAAGAAGGAAAGTGGATAAAGACGAAGTACTTGAATGCAGTTTTAATCAAGGTTAAATACCTATCTGTTAACCACAATTCAAAGTTTCATACCTATGACAAAGTGGCTCTTCAGATGTTGTAGTATTGTATCTTCCAGTGTAGCCAATAGTGAGAGAAACAGGATGTTGTCCCAACACAAAACACCATCTTTGTGGTATGGACAACAGCATGAAACAAATAAGGAGCATACTCATCATTTCCAATAGCGGTAGCCTTGGAACTATGCTATGTTTCAATTTATAAAACCAAAAATAGCTGCATGGAGATGCATTTAAAACTGGAAAACAATGTTTTCACCGCAGTTTTGGCCATGACAAGTGCATTTGTATGTTTGCCTTGTTCTAAGTCACACAAGTCCAGGTGATTCAGCTGTTCAAATAGAAGCTTTGTGTATTTGTGTTTGCTCCAAAGGGACTGAACAATTAAAAGTCAAAGTAGCAATATTATGCTTGCTTTCGTTTTCCTGAGTTACAGATCCTTGAAGTAATAAAGGCAATGAATTTGAGAGAAAGGTAGATGGTACCTAGGAGTGAAGCAAAGAGAAGCAGCCAAACGTCCAGTAAGTACTGCTGATACCATTCTTGATGAACTGAATAGGGATGGAGGTGAGCTCCACTTCCCACTTTGAGAACGTGTTCTATCCATCCTGCCAGTCTTTGTTCCGGAGGAAATGGATGAGAATGGAGGATTGTGCTCAGAGCCTTCGCTGCAGATTTATACCTGGACAGAGAAAAGTTTTAAGAGTTGGTGTAATAATTATAATAGCCCATGGAATAATCTATGTCTCATTCAGAATGGAATTAAAACAATCTATATGGCCTCCATTTTGTTAATTAACTATTGTTTTACTTTGTTGACTGGAGCCCCCAGTAGTGCAATCGGTTAAACCCTTGTGCCAGCAGGATTGCTGACCGAGAGGTCAGCAGTTCGAATCCAGAGAGAGTGGGTTGAGCTCCCACTGTCAGCTCCAGCTCCCATGTGGGGACATGAGAGAAGCCTCCCACAGAGATGGTAAAACATCCAAACATCCAGGTGTCCCCTTGGCAACGTCCTTGCAGACAGCCAATTCTCTCACACCAGAAACGACTTGCAGTTTCTCAAGTTGCTCCTGACACACACAAAAAACCCCCAAAACAAAACCAAAATAAAACTTTGTTGGCAGTGAGTTAGGAATAGGGGTATAATTTTTCATTAATATTCTTGTAAGGAACAATGAGTATTTTTAACCATTTTCCCAGCATTATAATTTTTTAAAAAACTATTAGCAGCCTGGGACTTTGTGCAAAATTCACATGTTTTGTGCAGAAAACGCTTTTTTATGTAGGAAACTATTTCCTGTGCAGAATATTTTTTTAGCAGAAAATGCTGTTTTCTCTGCAAAGCAACAGATGATGTGCAAAATAAATCTCCAATTAGTTTATAAATAGGAAAAAGAATTTTCTGCACAGAAATTAATATTTCTGCACATAATGCATTATTCCCTTCAAAGAGAAACTTGTTTCTTATGCAGAAAGTAGTTTTTCTTCACAAAAGCACATGCAAAATTTGTGCAGAATAAACTGTGAAGTTGTTATATGAGAAAATGAGGGTTTCCTGGCAGCATTTGTCTAATATTTTCAAATATTCTTCCCATTTCTAGTTAGAAGTAAAGAGTTGTTTCTGGAATCTGTCTATCTCTTATCTTTCTCCAGGTAGCCACATATCTCATCTGCTACAGAAACAGAAAAACCATTAATATGACATCATAAAAAGGAATAACTATTATGACACAGTATTTGGAACCCTTTACAAGAAAAAACCGATAGGTCGAAGAATACATACCTTTGGTGTCCTATGACTTGTTTCATTGCACTTCCAAAGCTGTCAGCTTCTAGCTGGTCAATGCTGACAGAGAGGCCCATGTTTCTGGCTTCCACTCGGATCATGTTGTCATGTTGATCCCCAAATAGGGGGATCCCTACTACTGGAACACCATGGTAAACGGATTCCATCAAACTGTTGAGCCCTCCGTGAGTGACAAGGAGCCGAACCTTTGGGTGTCCTAGTTCAAATGAAAAACATAGACTCAAAGCATAGGGTATTGCAGTTTGGTTACATCATGGATAGGAACCATGTTGCTCAGATAATAATAATAATAATAATAATAATAATAATAATAATAATAATAATCAACTTTGGGTTACTGTAAGTTTTTCGGTCATGTATGGTCATGTTCCAAAAGGAATGTCTCCTGACATTTCTCCTGCAACTATGGCAGGCATCCTCAGAGGTTGTGAGGTCTGTTGGAAACTAGGAAAAATGGGTTTATATTTGTGGAATGTCTAGGGTGGGAGAAAGAACTCTTATCTGTTGGAGGTAGGTGTGAATGTCCCACAGTTTTAATTGTGTGTTGTCTTATTGTTAATTGTTGCATATTTTATTGTCTATGGTTTTATTTTTAATTGCTTGTATTGTTGTTATTATTGCTTGTATTGTTGTATTGGGCTTGGCCTCATGTAAGCCGCACCGAGTCCCTTGGGGAGATGGTAGTGGGGTACAAATAAAGTTGTTTATTATTATTATTATTATTATTATTATTATTATTAATATTAATATTTCAATTGGCCACATTAATTAGCATTTAATGGCCTAGCAATTTTTAAAGTGTGGATTCTTAAAGCCTGGGTGAATCATTTGTTGAGAGGTGATTAGCTGCCCCTGATTGTTTCTTGTCTGAAGTTCCCCTGTTTTTGAAAGTTGTTCTTTATTTACTGTTATGATTTTATTTATGCCCCGCCACCATCTCCCCAAAGGGACTCAGGGCAGCTAACAAAGCACTCAGGGTGCCACACATAAAATAGAATTAC